TGGGACTAACAAGTGTTATTGTTCCATCCATGAGTCAAGTTTGCTTTTAATCAATCATCAACTAGAGTAAGTATAACAGGGGTGTCCAAACCTTTTGAACTGTAAAACTGTTATGACTGGGTTCAGCTGTTTTAGGGGAATGATATAGCTTTTATGAGCTTTATGTAGCGGGCGACAGTAGCTCAGTTGGTAGAGCACTGGCCTTAAGGCCAGAAGGTCGTGGGTTCAATTCCCACCTCTACACCTTCTCCACCGACTCCCACTGATGACTGCTGTCGTTGTGTCCTTGGGCAAGACACTTAACCCCACTTTGCCTGAAGCCCCCACTGAAAGATCAAGGCTATGCTCACACTCAGAGAGCAGCCGTCCTCCTGTGGACTCACCACCTGCAGAGGGTCAGTGAGGGGCTGGTGCTATGAGACTTGGGTGGCATCTCTGACTGCCACCCCCCTGACCCAGAAATGGATTAAAGGGTAGAAGATGGATGGATGGATGGATGGATGGAGCTTTATGTATAGCATGAATATTTTGGTGGATCTGAAGCTGGCTGGATGACACTGTGAAAGTGCCTCGATGTCTGTGTCAGCGACAGAAGAGAAAGTGATATAGGGGACTGTGGTGTGGACCTGCTGATTATAAATAACTCTAGTTATGTTTCTACTGGCGCAGCGTGACATCATCACCAGCTGAAACAAGTCCATGCCTTAAAGCTGAGGTACCTGATTTTAAAGCACAAAACACTTTCATAGTTCATGTAATAAAAAACAATCAAGCTCTTATTAATGTACCTTACTGTCCGTTGGGTTTAAGAACAAAGCAAAGGCCCTGTGCCCTGGGTATGAGATCACAGAGAAGGCCCTGTGCTCTGGGTTTGAGATCACAGAGAAGGCCCTGTGCTCTGGGTTTGATACCACAGAGAAGGCCCTGTGCTCTGGGTTTGAGATCACAGAGAAGGCCCTGTGCTCTGGGTTTGAGACCATAAAGAAGGCCCTGTGCTCTGGGTATGAGATCACAGATGAGGCCTTGTGATCTGGGTGAAAGGCCGCAGAGAAGGCCCTGTGCTCTGGGTTTAATGCCACAGAGAAGGCCCTGTGCTCTGGGTTTGAGACCATAAAGAAGGCCCTGTGCTCTGGGTTTGAGATCACAGATGAGGCCCTGTGCTCTGGGTGAAAGACCGCAGAGAAGGCCCTGTGCTCTGGGTTTAAGACCATAGAAAAGGCCCTGTGCTCTGGGTTTACGACCATAGAGAAGGCTCTGTCCCTCTGGGTTTAAGACAGGGGTGTCCAAACTTTTTAGTAAGATGGCCACCTTTCTTCCCCCAGAAATTTCCCCTGGACAGACGACACAGATTGTAAAAGACTGAGCTGAAGTTGGCTGAATGACAAATGTTTACCCTCTCCCCACTTACATTAGCGGCTTGGATGGAAGTTTGCCACTGGTTCTGAGCTTTACAACAGCTGATATAGGAGGAGCTGAAGCTGTCTGGATGTCACAGAACAGGCCCTGTGCTCTGGGTTTAAGACCATAGAGAAGGCCCTACTCACCAACAAACAAAAAGTGAGATACCTCAACTTTGCCAAGGACACAACACCACCTCATTACCGCCTGAAAAATGCCTAAAGCTGATGTACCTAATTCTCGAACCACACAAAGATTGTCATATCTACTGTAATAGAATCCATAGCTCAAAGTGTTGTCTAATGAGATGAAGAATTCAGATTGTGATGTTTCTCCTGTTGGGACAAAGCAAACATAAATTATTGATGAAACCAAAAGTTGCGCTGTACAGAGGGCACCACACGGATCATTAGCCGCGGAATGAAGCCCATACCTTGAAGCAGTGCATGACATGGCAGGGTTGTCGACCTCTGCTCCACTTCGCCGCATGTGCGCTGGCAGTCGTTGTGATTGGCTGGCGGGGCAGCTCTCATTACCTTCCACAGTGGCCCGGCCCCTGAATAATGAGCCTATTACGGAGATAGGAAGAGCAGCGAGAGTCTGCTATCTGCACAAACATGCTGCATTTAGACAAGTTCATTCCACCAAGCGGCTCCTGCTCTGCGCTTTCTATCTTCAGCGCCGCACGGACGCTCGATACGCGACCAGGGAATGATTTTATACATTGAGGCATTACTGGGTCTGGCTTATGAATGCTGAGAAATATCAAAATTGCCGGGGAATGTCTCCATGCATGCATAAAGAGGCCGTGGACACTTTGGAAGCTTTAGTGTGAGGCTAGGAATGGCATGTTGCTCTACAAATCCACATACCTGAACTGTAAAACTGGGGATTGATATTGATTCATATGGAATTTTCACAATAAAAAACAAATGCCCCTATATAACAAATCATTCCAGCTGTTTTGAGCTTTAGAACAAGATTTAGAATGAATACATTGGTTAGCGGCAGGAGACCAGAGAAAGTGATATAGAGGACTGTAGTTTCTATTACTGGGTCTGGCTTCTGAATACTGAGGAAATTCAAAATTGCTGGAAATGTGTCCATGCATGAAGTAGTCTTGGACACTTTGGAAGCTTTCGTGTGAGGCTGGGAATAGCATGGGGACTTACAAATCCATTCAACACATGGAATAGTATATAAGAATGTTGCTATAGTCCTAATGCCTCTGATATTGATTGCATCGGTCTTGGTTGTTGTATGTGTTCAAGGTCTCCATCTGATGAGAAAAGCCACAGACATGAATTTGATGGTCTCAGATACAGAGATCTGTGTAAGGGCAATACTTTTGTTTTAAAACACAGAAAACTGCGTTGAGTGTGACGTCATAGAGGTACAGTGACATCATACTGTTAAAGGACTGAGACAGAAGGGGCGGAGCTATGTGTGTGCCAGAGGTTGATATTAACCCTGGATGGATCTAGGACTGAGGCCATAGATCCAGGACTAAGGCTGAAGATCTAGGGCTGAGGCTGTAGCCCCAGGACTGAGGCTGTAGATCTAGGACTGAAGCTGTAGACCCAGGACTGAGGCTGTAGATCTAGGACTGAAGCTGTAGACCCAGGACTGAGGCTGTCGATCCAGGACTGAGGCTGTAGATCTATGGACTTAGGCTGTAGACCTATGGACTGAGGCTGTAGATCCAGAACTGAAGCTGTAGATCCAGGACTGAGGTTATCGATCCAGAACTGAAGCTGTAGATCCAGGACTCAGGTTGTAGACCCATGGACTGAGGCTGTAGATCCAGAACTGAAGCTGTAGATCCAGGACTCAGGTTGTAGACCCATGGACTGAGGCTGTAGATCCAGAACTGAAGCTGTAGATCCAGGACTGAGGCTGTAGATCCAGTACACTCAAAATAACATAAAATACGACAGTTTGGGGTAATGAGCTACAGTATAGGTCCACATTCCACATTACATAAGGGGGCTAACCACTCTGCCGCTGTGAGCCGCATCAGACCAGATTCAGCTCGAGATGTGGAAAAACGCTGTAGAAGTTTTGTGTTGAAGTTGTTGCTCAGTGTGAGTCCTGTTCCCGGGAGAAGTGCGCCTCATTAAAGCAGGACGCTCTGCACTGGCCTCATTACAGACGAGAGCTTCAGAGGAGAGAGGGGGGAGACGGTGGGGAGAGGATCTGTGTGCGGGAGGTAAATAAGGAGTGAGAGTGAGGAAAAGAGGAAAAATATGAAGCAAGAAGATTGGAAAAAACAAGACATAGAGAGAGAGAGAGACGGGAACTAAACAAGATCAGATATACCCTCAGTAGTCAGTGTCATTTAATTGTATTTATCTATGCAGCTAATATCTGGAACAGTCTTCTTGTAAATGCGAGACAGGATTCTTCTCTGACAATGTCCAAATCGAGGTTCACCCTTTAATTGTCTCCTCGACCAATTTGTGGATCACATTCACTATCGACTTGAAGCTTGGAACTGAAATCCGAGGAATCTCTATCACCTGGTTTCCGACACTTTTACATCAAACTGCATCTCAAGGTGTCATGGTGTGGACTTTAGTTTTTTTTTTACCTGGTTATATTTTTATATATTATTAATTGTTGATTGTTTGCCCTGATGAGTTACATTTATGTTTTCTTCTGTGTATTTAGACCCTGTGCTCCTGTCCACTGTTGTTTTTTCGCCATGTTTTGTTCCTGGTTTTTACTTTTGGTTTTATTATTTTGTGCCATTTATTAAAATATATCATTTTTTGCAGTTCTGCTTTTGGGTCCTTCCTTGCTTAACTGTGAAAAAAGCCCTATAATTATAAAACTATGGGTATAAAAATAATTTTAAAAAGTGCTTGTATCTTTAGTGCTCCTACATCTTACACAATCCCAAAAATATAATACTTTCTTTAAGTAGCAAACTTTAAAGTGTTAAAAGATAAGATAAAGTAATCTGTATTCGTCCCACAGTGGGGAAATTTCACCGTTGCAGTGCACATTCAGGACGGTAGTGCAAACAGGGAGCACACAAAGTAGCTTCTACATTTCTAAGCTAGCTGTAAATGTCACATGAAGTGAAAAACAAGGAAACCCAAAATGCAAAACTGCAAAATAATGGTTTTAATAAAAATCAAGATCTAGCAAAAACACCACAAAAGGCAACCAAACCGGGAACAAGGACAAGAACTGAAACAGACGTGGAATGACAATGACGGAACAGGGAGTGAAGGAACACACAGAGTTTAAATACACAAGACTAACGAGACACAGTTGACACAGACCGGGGCAGGGCAGGTAATCAGACAGCAGGAAGTACAACCAAAGACACCGGGAGTAACAAACCACAGAATAAAACAGGAAATAAACCCAAACAAAGACAGTAAATACTTCAACACTAACATGTCGATACATCTATAGCTATAGATACTGTAGCTGTTTATCTGTGCAAACAACTTTACTCACTGTTTTTGAAGCCTTTTGATTCTGGCTTTTGGTTTGCTTGTTTCTGTCGTTCACCTCACTGTGACCTCCTAAAATGTGTTCTTCCCGGCGCCGCCTGCAGCGATTCTCACACTTTAAATATTTGAAAAACATTAGAAGTCACTGCTGCAGGAGGAATAGTCTGCTGCGTCTGTCAGAGTGGATCTGGGGTTTGATTCTAGAACAAGACATGTTGTATTAAACATCGTATTAAAACAATGGATAGTCTCTTGTCTGTTATTGTCCTTTGAAAACCATCTGTTTTCTTTAAATCCACGCAATTATGCAACAAAATCAGGACAAGCTGGTTTGACCATAAGCTGGAGCCAATTTCGGGGTGATACTTTTGTTTTAAAAGACCAGAAAAGTGCTCTGAGTGTGATGTCGTAATGGTACAATGACATCACACTGTTACTAATTTATTGTTTTTATTATATATATTATGATTTTACTGCGTACATAATGTGTTAGTTTTTGTAGTTATCCTTTCAAACATATGAAGCTAGCAAACCTGTTTATTTAAATGTGTTACTTTTATCTCTGTGCAGCACTTTGGAAACTTGTTTTATAAAATGTATAAATACAGAAATAAAGTGGATTGGATTACAGGACTGATGCAGCTTTCATGCAAACTCGGAAAATCGATATCTATATCACACACACACACACACACACACACACGCACTCCATTTTCTCTAACCAGAGAGGCTGCGACCAGAGAGACAGAGACTGAACTGAAACAGTCTTCCTGAAAACATGAGACAGGCAAATCCAGGTTAAAAACAGTTTTGTTTCACTGCAACAACTAAAGGATCTTATCTTTACTCTTTTTAATGTACTATGTGTAAAGTTCATATGTCTATCCATTGTTCAGCACTTTGAGTCCTTTTTGTGTGAACTGTACTATACAATTAAAATTTGCCTTGCCTTAAATATGCCACACATAGGTCCACAGATCCAAACCCCTCTGGAGCCTCCTATAACAGCCTCAAACACCAGTTCTCAGAGTCTCCCTCGGAGTCGATAACTAACTCCTCGGTGCAGAGTCTGTGTGTCTGACATTTGGATAATCGTCGAGGGAAATCGACTGGTCCAATTAAAGCCGACGGAAGGATTTGACGACAGCGTTCAACGTTTCTTCGACAGACGCAGGTTAACGCTGCGACCCTCACGGAAATGTCAACCATTTTATTTCTCTCTCTGCAGGAGGCTCAGTGTAAACAGTGATCAACGCTGCAGTCATGACACATCGTCGCTGGTGCAGAGGAGCAATGGGATCATCAGAATCACAATTGTTTTTATGTGCATGTAAGAGGAAGTTCCAAACTCAGAATTTGCTTTAGCTAAAAAATAAGATATCAGACATGAATAAATGATAACAGTAATAATGCATCTGTTTTATAAAGCACTTCTACAGTTAACGACTGCTTCTCGAGAGAGCAGTCGTGTCTCTCTGCTCTGCTTTTGCTTCGCCTTTTAATCTCCTTGAATCATTTTATTTACATTTTTTTGAATCATTTTATTTACAAAACGAGGATTACTCCTTCTACACACTTCAGCTTTGTGGAATTTATCAACTTTAGTCATGTCGGGACGAAAGAGACGGAGAAGCGTCTGCGGTGGCTGTTGTGCTTTGGAAAATCAGCTCAAATCTCTTCAAACACGGATATCTATTGTGGAAACAGAAATGGGACTTAACCCGACTCTTCCAATGAGTGAAAATGCGATGAATGGACAGACTGGAAATGTAAGTTATGACGTCATTTCTTTTCCCAAAATCAACAATGAGAATTATTGGAATAATTGTGGAGCTAAACCCAAAGTTGATAAAGCTAAGAATGACAATAGGAGTGAAATAAGGCCACAACTAAATGTTCTGAAGACTTCAAACCGCTTTTTACCCCTTTCTGAAACAACAAAGCCGCTAACAACTGCAGCGCCTCCACCAAGGACAAACTGTGTCCTTATCGGAGATGGTTCGGTGAAAAATGTAAATATGGAGTCCATGCTCACTGTCTCAGTTCACTCTGCAAAAGTTGCTGAGATAAGGACTCTTCTGCCTAAAGTGTTATCTGAGAACAGTGGTGTGCGTACATTATTGATCCACACGGGGGCGGTAGATATCTATGAGAAGGCAAGCGAGAAGTTACGAATGGATTTAACGCTGTTACTGGATGACCTCAAGAAAGTTTAGACGTCTGTATCAGCTAAATACATTTCTACTCAATGAGTGTTCACGCAGAGGACTTGGCTTCATTGAAAACTTTAATCTGTTCTGGAATAGGCACGATCTTTTTGAAGAAAAAGGTCCACATCTGAACAACTACGGAGTAAAAGTGTTGATGGATAACTTTGCATCTGCCCTAAGACCTCAGCATGCGCAGCGCGTGCAGCCGTCGAAAGGGAGAAAGAAGAAGCAAAGGGCACAGACATCACAACCATCTCCACCGACTCCTGAGGTCTCTGCACCCCCACCGCCTCAAAAGAACTCCACACCTCCACGATTCAAGAAGAACTCAACACCTCCAAGGTTCCAAAAGAACTCAACACCTCCACGGCTCCGAAAGAGCTCAACGCCTCCACCACCAGCATCATCAGCAGCTGCCACATCTTCATCAGCGCCATCAGCATATACAGCACCACCAGCAGCAGTGGATACAGCAGCAGCAGTGGCTGCTCCATCATCTTCAGCAGCACCTTCCCCACCTACAGCTCCCGTGAAGCTTCCCCCATTGCTCCAGGCTACAGACAGGCCTGTACTGGGGGTTCCTCAACCACCTCTGTCTCCACCAAAGACTCCCTCATCACCTTCCATGGGCCCGGCTTGGGTCCCCCCCGCTACATCCACACACAATGAGGACGACCTTTCCCTTTGTTTTCTATCCCCGCCTTCACTACTGGAATTACCGGAACACTCGGCAGGCATGTTTGTGTAAGCCCTCAGTCGTACAGGGATTAGTCAAAGCAAAGGAAGGTTTCTCACCCATCATCTGTACTTCTTAGCAAGTTTTCCCGACGTTTCGTCCTCAACCTGGGGACTTCTTCAGGGAATGAATTCTCGGACCGCGCGTTGGAGATTTATAACCTATGGGTGTGGTTAGCCACACCCTAATCCTGATACTAACTCATAACTCCTTAGCATGTCACAGACCTATTGTCTGCTGGGATGCTCAAGTGGAGTGCAGGTCTCACCCCTCCTAACTCATTAGCATGTCACTGACCTTGTCCCAAGTTAGGGCGTTGTTTTTAGGATGTCGTCATAGATGCGAGGCAAAACAAATCTTAACCCTCCTCCTCTGTTAAGAGAAGGTTTTTGTTTCCTCACAAAAATGGCTTCATTCACTCCTCTCTCAAACCAATTCTTCTCCCGAGCCAGAATTTTAACCTCTGTGTCATCCACCGTGTGGTTGGAGGCCTTGAGGTGGAGATGAACAGCCGACTGTGGCCCACTAGAGTTTTTTCTACGATGTTGGTAAAGTCGTTTCTGTAGAGTTTGTTTGGTTTCTCCAATATAGTGGTCAGTGCACTCCTCTTCACTACATTTAATTGAATACACCACATTGCTCTGTTTGTGTCTGGGTGTTTTGTCTTTGGGATGCACTAATTTCTGTCTTAATGTGTTGAAAGGTTTGAAATACACAGGGATTTTGTGTTGCCTAAAGATTCTTTGTAGTTTCTCTGAAACTCCCGCCACATACGGTAAGGACACCCCTCTCCTCCTACTTTCTTCTGTCTGTAGGACTGTGTCTCTGGCCTTTCTCGTCCTTTGGGCTTTAGTAAAAGACCACTTGGGGTAGCCACATCTGGAAAGTGCTCTCTGAACATGTTTGGTTTCTCTGTTCTTTCCCTCCGAGCTAGTGGGGACCTGGTGGGCTCGGTGTTGAAGCGTTCTAATGACCCCGAGTTTGTGTTGTAGCGGATCAGGCGGTCAGGGTCAGCGGTCAGGGCACAGAAGCAAGAGTGCCGGAGAGCAGAGAGAAAGTGGAGAAAGTCCAACCTCCAGGGTGATTATAAACTCTTAAAAGAGAAGTTGTGTGAGTTTAACAGAGTACTACGTAGAACAAGAGAATTTTACTTTTCTGAAACTATTGAAGGCTGCAGCAACAATCTTCCTGTTTCTTTAACTTAACCCATGTATCGTCTACATATCGAAACCAATGGCTTGGCGCTGTCCCTTGGTAAGAGCCCAGGGCTTGTTCCTCCAGTTTCTCCATATACAGATTGGCCACTATCGGAGAGACTGGGGAGCCCATCGCACAGCCATGAATCTGTCTAAAGAAGGTGCCTCTAAATTGGAAATACGTGGTGTTAAGACACATTTCAAGTATTTCACAGATGTGGTCAGCTGTTAGTTTCGTTCTCTCCCCTAGTGTGGCGTCTTTCTGTAGGCTTTCTCTTACAGCCTGCACCGCCTCTGTAATAGGGACCGACGTAAAAAGCGATGTCACATCAAACGAGACCATTGTCTCATCTGTGTCAAACTGGAGGTGTTTGATTTTATTTACAAATTCTTTTGTGTTTCCTATGTGATGGTGGGTGTTACCCACCAAAGGAGCCAGAATGGTTTTGAGGTGTTTAGCCAGGTTGTAGGTGATAGAGTCTATGCTACATACAATAGGCCGAAGTGGAAAGTTTTGTTTGTGTATTTTTGGGAGGCCATAAATACTGGGGATGGTGTCTCCTGGGTAAAGTTTGTAATATAGTGGTTTTTCAATAATGCCCTCTTTCATTAAGTTCTGAAGGAAGTCTATAATCTTTTTCCTAAACCCACTGGTAGGGTCCCTCTTCAATGGCTGGTACGTGTTGGTGTCCAAGAGTAACTGATTAACTTTGGCCTCATAGTCTGAGCTGTTGAGGATAACTGTGCATCTGCCTTTGTCAGCTGGTAAAATAGTTATACTCTCATCCTTTTGTAATGCCATTAATGCTTTTTGCTCATCTAATGAGACATTGGATTGTGGGGGCTTCGCACTTTTGAGTGTGGCAGAGACTCTCAGTCTGAGGGCTCCTGCCTCACTCTCAGTTAGTTTGTTGTTTCTAATGGCTGCTTCTGCTGCTGTGATGTATTCAATTGTAGGAATATCTTTTGGGGTTATTGCAAAATTTAGGCCTTTGGTACGAACATCTTTTTCCGCTTGTGATAAATGCCGATCAGACAGATTTTTGACCCAATTCTCCCTGTCCAAACCTTGTCCAATTTCACTTTTAGAATGTTGAAAAGAATTATGGTTTTGGAGTTTTAGAAATTTGCCTATCTGATGGCAGCAGAAGCAGCCATTAGAAACAACAAACTAACTGAGAGTGAGGCAGGAGCCCTCAGACTGAGAGTCTCTGCCACACTCAAAAGTGCGAAGCCCCCACAATCCAATGTCTCATTAGATGAGCAAAAAGCATTATTGGCATTACAAAAGGATGAGAATATAACTATTTTACCAGCTGACAAAGGCAGATGCACAGTTATCCTCAACAGCTCAGACTATGAGGCCAAAGTTAATCAGTTACTCTTGGACACCAACACGTACCAGCCATTGAAGAGGGACCCTACCAGTGGGTTTAGGAAAAAGATTATAGACTTCCTTCAGAACTTAATGAAAGAGGGCATTATTGAAAACCACTATATTACAAACTTTACCCAGGAGACACCATCCCCAGTATTTATGGCCTCCCAAAAATACACAAACAAAACTTTCCACTTCGGCCTATTGTATGTAGCATAGACTCTATCACCTACAACCAGGCTAAACACCTCAAAACCATTCTGGCTCCTTTGGTGGGTAACACCCACCATCACATAGAAAACACAAAAGAATTTGTAAATAAAATCAAACACCTCCAGTTTGACACAGATGAGACAATGGTCTCGTTTGATGTGACATCGCTTTTTACGTCGGTCCCTATTACAGAGGCGGTGCAGGCTGTAAGAGAAAGCCTACAGAAAGACGCCACACTAGGGGAGAGAACGAAACTAACAGCTGACCACATCTGTGAAATACTTGAAATGTGTCTTAACACCACGTATTTCCAATTTAGAGGCACCTTCTTTAGACAGATTCATGGCTGTGCGATGGGCTCCCCAGTCTCTCCGATAGTGGCCAATCTGTATATGGCGAAACTGGAGGAACAAGCCCTGGGCTCTTACCAAGGGACAGCGCCAAGCCATTGGTTTCGATATGTAGACGATACATGGGTTAAGTTAAAGAAACAGGAAGTGGAACCATTTTTAGCACACATTAACTCGGTGGACCCTTTTATAAATTTCACTCGCGAGGATGCTAAGGAAAGTGAACTCGCCTTTCTAGATTGTAAGGTCATCATACTGGAGAACGGACAATTAGAGACTGAGGTCTTCAGAAAGTCCACTCACACTGACCAGTACCTGGCCTTTGATTCAAATCATCCGCTACAACACAAACTCGGGGTCATTAGAACGCTTCAACACCGAGCCCACCAGGTCCCCACTAGCTCGGAGGGAAAGAACAGAGAAACCAAACATGTTCAGAGAGCACTTTCCAGATGTGGCTACCCCAAGTGGTCTTTTACTAAAGCCCAAAGGACGAGAAAGGCCAGAGACACAGTCCTACAGACAGAAGAAAGTAGGAGGAGAGGGGTGTCCTTACCGTATGTGGCGGGAGTTTCAGAGAAACTACAAAGAATCTTTAGGCAACACAAAATCCCTGTGTATTTCAAACCTTTCAACACGTTAAGACAGAAATTAGTGCATCCCAAAGACAAAACACCCAGACACAAACAGAGCAATGTGGTGTATTCAATTAAATGTAGTGAAGAGGAGTGCACTGACCACTATATTGGAGAAACCAAACAAACTCTACAGAAACGACTTTACCAACATCGTAGAGAAAACTCTAGTGGGCCACAGTCGGCTGTTCATCTCCACCTCAAGGCCTCCAACCACACGGTGGATGACACAGAGGTTAAAATTCTGGCTCGGGAGAAGAATTGGTTTGAGAGAGGGGTGAAAGAAGCCATTTTTGTGAGGAAACAAAAACCTTCTCTTAACAGAGGAGGAGGGTTAAGATTTGTTTTGCCTCGCATCTATGACGACATCCTAAAAACAACGCCCTAACTTGGGACAAGGTCAGTGACATGCTAATGAGTTAGGAGGGGTGAAACCTGCACTCCACTTGAGCATCCCAGCAGACAATAGGTCTGTGACATGCTAAGGAGTTAGGGTCGTTAGCCTCAGCAGGGTCGTTAGACCTGCTCCCTTCTACATCAAGCAGACCGTAGATTGGTTTACGAGTTAGTATCAGGATTAGGGTGTGGCTTACCACACCCATAGGTTATAAATCTCCAACGCGCGGTCCGAGAATTCATTCCCTGAAGAAGTCCCCAGGTTGAGGACGAAACGTCGGGAAAACTTGCTAAGAAGTACAGATGATGGGTGAGAAACCTTCCTTTGCTTTGACTAATCCCTGTACGACTGAGGGCTTACACAAACCTATCCACTCTAAGATTCACTCCTTGAAGAAAACAAAGTAATTTTGATTTTTTTTTAACCCTATTTTTTATTATAGGCCTTTATCAAATGGTTGAGATACAGTTTCATGGTAAAATTGCCTAAAACTAAGTCCCAAAGAGGTATATTTCAGTTCCAAGTGGAGTTTACCTTTACATGCAAGTCAAATGGAGTCAGAGCGAGTAGGAGCTAAACTTTATCTGTGAGCACTTCCCTGTTGGACTCACCGAATGGTTTTTCACATGTTCATCTTTAACATGATTTCCAAATGAACAATGGAATCACTTCCATTATTCTATTGTTTGATAATTGAACAAAAAATCAGCTATTATTTATATTTTTCTCAGAGATTGAGGTGGGGTTCAATAACTTATACTCTCTCCCCATTCCCTTTCAAGCTTCAGAGTGAAAGTTAGTCTTCCTAATTGAATTGTTTTTTTCACTTTGGTGATCTTAGAATACTATTTGCTTTACATAAATAAAATCCATCCATCCATTTTCTTCCCCCAAATTAATTTTTGGATCGGGGGGGTGGCAGTGTCTTGCCCAAGGACACAATGACAGCAGTTATCAGTGGGAGTCAGTAGGTCTTGTGGTGGGCTCGAACCCACGACCTTCAGGCCTAAAAGGCTCTACCAACAGAGCCACTGTCGCCTTAAATAAAAAAAAATTATCAAAATAAATAAATAAAGTAAGATAACAGTGTATAGTACTGACTCACTCGTGGTCACAGTCCAAACATGTAAAAAAATGGGATCTTTTGACTTCATCATTTCACAGACAAATATCGGAGGAGCAGTTGTGTTTCCATGCATCTCGCTCAACCAGAGTGATCCGGTTTTGTAAACATACTCGTAATTGTGTCTGGTCGTGTACCTTTGGCCGCCCAGGCTCGCAGGGGGCTGTTGTTGTCGATCACATGGTAGAAGGTGAGGGGGATGATGAGGAAGGGGCTGTCGGTGGAGGTGTCCACGCTGAAGGGCACGTTTCTCTGGTCCAAACGCACAGTCTCGCCCTCTTTGGTCAGGGAGGTCCGCAGCAGCTTCCCGGTCACCTGCACACAAGGGATGGATAACTTCTGTAGGTCTGCAGGATAGTGATTGATCTTTGGAAGTGTTGTGCGTGAACGAGTTCAAAAGAACAGGTTCATTGAACACCCAAATTTTTTTGTGAACGTTGAACTGAACGCAACACATTTTTTAATAAAGAAATTGAACGTGAATTAGTTCTTGAACGGCAGACACATTCAAGAACTAATTCACGTTCAAGTTCTTCTAAATGCACGTTGGAATTTGTTTTCCATTGAAAACTGAGTGACATCTGTTTTCTCTTTTGAAACGCACCGAGAGAAAGTTCCTCCCTCCTGTATTCTCCGCACTTTTTCTGCCGAAAACTAAAAATCCCCACGCTTTCCACCGTCTGTGAACGCACCCCGTCTCCGTTTTGCGGTGCGGCGCAGAGTTATGCTCCCATTGAAAACCATGCTCGTAGTGTGAAAAAAGTATTTATTTGAACATCTCAGGAAAAAAGTAAAATGAACTGAACTTTGAACTAGTTCAGAAAAGCTGTGAACTGGCACAACACTGATCATTGGATATTTTGGCACAAACCTAATTGCAATTTTTTGGATAAAACATGTGATATGCGACGCAATTTACAGTATGAGTTTGTAGAAAATTAGACAAATTGCAGATCGGCCTGGGATTGTGCCGCAGACCGAAGACGTGTTTTAATGAAGTTAAAACATACACGAAGAATCATGTGCTCCTCTAAGAGTCTGCGCCAGTAGCTTCGACTTTCAGATAACCAAACATTTAAGTGGAAATTCACCAGCTCCTGCAAACTTAGGTTTAACCAAAATTGCTTCAAAACTGTTACACAATATTCATAGGTTGTCAAAAGTATTGAAAATCAGCTTGAAATTTGTATCAAAACTAAATTGAGAACATATATCCTGAATATCCCGGTCTGGACTTGTACAGTAAATGTGAATGTGTTTCTTGTTCTGTTCTTTGTCCTGTAGTTGTCTTGTTTCCGGTATTGTTTTTGTGATTTTGATGTTAAATCATCAGCCTGTCTAGGGACAACAGATGGAAATTAGCCTACGGCTAAAGTTTGACATATTTACATATTTTTATATGTTCATAAATATGTACTGTCCCTACTTAAATAAATAAACAGAAATATACTGTACATACGAGATAAGATCACAAAAACAAGACAATATGGGACATTTTGTTTTACTTTTTTTGTAAACTTTATCAGGAAAACAGTATAAAACAATGTGGCCCATAAAAGTGTTCAATTCAATTAAATGTATTTTTGCATGGCTCGAAATCACAACAGCGGTTTTCTCAAAGGACTTCACAAGGTTTACAGTTCAAACACAGGAAATGCATTATTAACAAAAACAATATTGTTCAAAAAGAGTTTTCATAAATAATGAATGTGGAATCAAACTTGGTGTTCTGATTAGAAAATTAAAGATTCTTACACATTCAATGCTGGAATTGTCTTGTTGACTTATTTTCTTAAGGCAGATTTTTCAATGGAAGTTGGAAGACTACAACATTTACATATTTTATTGTTGAAAAAGAGGACATTTCTTAAAATGTGGGTAAAATGCAAATGTGGCAAAATACATGCGAGTCAAAATGTACCACAATTACTCTTCACTTAGGCAAACAATTTTAGCTTATGTTTGCAAACAAAAAAACTTTAAATGTCTTTCACCTTCTAAACAGCTGATTATGGCTTTACCTGGCACCCGAGGAGCAGACTTTTACGCATATTGGCCACTCTGATCATGAGACAGGGCTGCCCCTCGTGGCTGGAGACGACCGCTTGTTGACTGAACTTCACCGTTTCTCCGCGTTTCTTTGGACGAGCGACCTGCGAATAAACACCCTCATCGTTACATCATCGTATTTACATAATAATAATAATAACAATGCATCGGTTTTATACAGCGCTTTTTTTGGACACTCAAAGACGTGTGTCATTATTCATTCACTCCATACACGGTGGTGATAAACTACTACTGTAGCCACAGCTGCCCTGGGGCACACTGACAGAAGCGAGACAACCAGTATGTGCCATCGGCCCCTCCGACCACCACCAACCATTCACACACACGACACACCAGACTCATTCTAGGCAATGGGAGTGAAGTGTCTTGCCTAAGGACACAACGGCAGTTTGGCACTTTACAGCCGCAGCTGTAAATCACCACATTCCATGAAATACAGACTGTAAAACATAACAGCCCTAATCATTTACAAAGGTTCAAGGCTCTGAGGATAACAGCTCTCTGTAGGAAGAGGTTTATTGCTGTGACTAGACAAAACTGCACTTAGGTGTCGAGAATGCAGTAAAGATAAGTTTTCACAGAAAGTATTAAAGGAAAGGTCAAACAACTGTTGGTTTAGTAACTTCTGATAATGTAGAACACTCCATATGACATATTAACACAGTTTGAACTCTCTGCTTGGACTGACCTTGGCGAGGAAGGTGCCAGTGATGAAGATCTCCATGATGGTGGTGAGCACGAGTTGGAAGATGAGGAGGACGATGGCGGCGGGACACTCCTCTGTGATGCACCTGAAGCCGTAGCCGATGGTGGTCTGCGACTCCAGAGAGAAGAGGAAGGCTCCGGTCAGGGTCTTCACCTCCATCACACATGGGGTGTGGTTGGACGGCGGGTCGAACTCTGCAAGAGGCACAGCAGCATTAATCATGGACACTGGTGAAGATTGTATCATGCTAAGAATACCCTGGTCTGGATTTGTGTTTATTGTAGTGTGTTGTTCTGTTTTTTTTTCTGTGAAGGGGGCGTATTCTGACCGTTATTTTATATAAGCTCATCTTTGAGTTTTGTCATTGTTGGAATGATGAATAAACAGTGCATGATTTAAAGTTTTGTCTGATCCAATGAAATCATATTTCTGTTTTTAAATCTGAGACCCACTGAGACATGGGAAGAAACATGAAAATTCCACCCATAGAAGCACGGGTCGACTGTGTGGAGTTTGCATGCTCTCCCTGTGTCTGCGTAGGTTTCCTCCGGGGGCTTTGGTAAAAACCTCCAGCTCTGCCCCTGACCAAGCCGAGCATCAACATCTGAGATTGGTCCTCAGAGGCTGTTGCTACGGCGACCACTGCTCCTGACAGAGGCCAGAGAATTTTCCTTACAGTGACAATAAAGCAACAAAACTTACAATTGGTCATTTATTTCATTATGTCCCTCGCTCATTCTTACCCAGTAAGTCTCCGTGCACCAGAGCGATGAGATACCAGAGGATCCCGAACACAAACCACGTCCCAGCAAAAGTGGCTGCGAACAGGAAGAACTTGTACCTCCACTGCATGTCCAGGAAGGTGGTCCACAGGTCGCGGAGGTAGAGCGCCCCGCGGCCGCTCACGTGCTCAATGCACACGTTACTTCTGCCATCTTTAGACAGGACCCTGCGCCTCCTCCTCAGGGCGTTCACTACGGCCGCTCCATTGGTCCCATTGGCCCCTGTCCCGCCCGGGGGTCCCAGCAGGGGCTTGGTGATGTCTGTCTGTGTCTGGGAGTGGCACACCTTTTGGGGAGAGGAACCTTCAGAGGAGGGAGGCGTGGCGGAGGTCATGGCTCAAACAGGGATCGACTAGAGGAGAAAGAGAGACAGTCAGAGTTCTATAATCCAAACAGCAGGGGAAACAACAATTTGGTCAAAAATAATCAGATGATAATATGAGCTAACAACAATGTACAGTTTTTCTCTGTCGCTTTGGTGCATTTCTCACATTAGACTTAAAGTTCTCAAAACTATTAGTTCAACCTCCACAACATTGAGTCATGTGTGACATCATAACAGCAGATTCTCATTTGAACATGCTTTATGTCAAATGCTTTTGGACATCAGTTACTTTCATACAATTCCCTGCTGTTTTATAACTATCATTATCTTCTGTGTCAGTCAAAATGAAACATACTTATGACTTCTGAATAGTCATTCCTTGTAAACTAGTAGTCCTCATTTCATCGCTTGAGTCATCACCATAGACTGTAAATATTAACATCACATCACATACAAAATTGTTGAACTGATCAAAATCTGTCAAGCTAATTTCATACATTCCTTTATCTTTTTTCGTGAAAATCTTTCCTAGATTAAACAATTGCTGAATTGTGAATTTCAGCTTTCACTCATGAGGAAGTGTGTTTTATTGTTTACATTTGTCTCAGTTCTATCATAATGATATTCTGTTTGTTTGTTCTACGAAAATACTGTAAGCGACTGTATTTTGTTGCACACTGTTGTAGAATTGCAAAGAGCAGTAAATATGTGAAATACATACATACATACAGTATATACACACATACATACATACATACACACATTCATACATACACACATACATACATACACACATACATACATACACACATTCATACATACACACATTCATACATACACACATTCATACATACACACATTCATACATACACACATACATACATACATACAAACAGTACATACTGTACATAGATACACACACATCCATGTGTTGTTCTCAGTTCCTCTCTAAACTCAGTCATGTGTAACTTTACTGTAGTCTTCAAACGTCTGTACAGTCATGTTTACACATGAGCTATCACAATGTACAGTTTTTCTCTGTCGCTTTGGTGCATTTATCAGACTTAAAGTTCTGAAAACTATTAGTTCAACCTCCACAACATCGAGTCATGTGTGACATCATCACAGCAGTTTCTCCTTTGAACACTTTACAAATGCTTTGTTCATGTATCAGTTACTTTCAAACAATTCTCAGCTGTTTTTTAATATTATCATTTGCTTTTGTCCTGTCAATCATAATTAAACAGACTTATCACTTCTGAATAGTCATTCCCTATAAAACCAATAGTCCTCATTTCATCGCTTGAGTACTCACATACAAAACTGTTGAACTAGTTCTCGAAATCTAAATCTGTCAAGCTAATTTCATACATTCCCTTATTTTATTTTTCCTAAAATTCTTTCCTAAATTGAACAGTTGCTCTCATGAGGAGGTGTGTGTTTTATTGTTTACATTTGTCACAGTTCTCGCATAATGCTATTTCTGGTATGTTTGTTCTACATAAATACTGTAAACAAACAAACTCAACAAAGATGGCGCCTCGTACGGTCGACACGGCTCTTTGCTGCTCTCTTTTCCTTTTGTTTCCACCTTACATTGTGTGCACAATGTGCACTTGTATATTGTAAATAGTAACTGTAATTCTATTTTAAATTTAAATGTATTCCTTAGAAGCGTTTTTTATTCTTTATTTTTATTATCTCTTTCTGACTGTTGCACTGAGCCAAAGCAATTTCCAAGTCTGTGACTTCCTGTTACTTACGTGGCAATAAAAATGATTCTGATTCTGATTCTAAATAAGGCATCACACACAAAGTTGTTCACAAATGTACATTAACAGTAACATAGTCAAACAAAGATTCAGAAATCCAACCCAATTTACAACACTCTTTATCCTTCCTGTCTGCGACGCTTCACTGATCCTTTTCTGCCCCAGCAGCTGGCCCCGCCAAAATAAAAGCTTCCATTCAGCATCAGGCCACAGCTGCTCTTTCACACTAAAGCGTGATAGTTCTGGTTTGTTCAAGTGCCAAAGTCTGGAGACAGGCTCGGAATGACGATGAGAAGCCACTACTGACCTTTACCGACGAACAGGAAAGCAGTGGCAGTAATCTATTCTTCAGTGGTGAGAAAAATATAAAATAAGATAAGATCAGAGAAACCTTTATTTGTCTCACAGTGCAGAAATGTCAGTGTTGCAGCGTACATACAGGACCGTAGTAAGAGCACAAAAAATATACAATATAAGTAGTTGCTATGTTTCTTAGCTAGCTGTAAGTGCTTAAATAAATAAATAATAGCATAAATAAATGTGTAATACTTCTTAATCACTCTTTTACAATTATGTATTGTTTTTGCTTTGTGTTATATTAGGCATATTATATGTATATGATACATGTGGGCGGCACGGTGACTGAGTGGATAGCACTCTCGCTTCTCAGCAAGAAGTCCTGGGTTCGAAACCCGGTCGGAACAGGGCCTTTCTGAGTGGAGTTTGCATGTTCTCCCCGTGTCTGGATAGGTTTCCTCCGGGTGCTCCGGTTTCCCCTACCACTAAAAACATTCACAATAGGTATGAATGTTAATGAGAGAGTGAATGGATGGTGTTGATTGGAGCTGATGCACCAGTGTGTTCGCCGACTCGCTTCCGAAATCACGTGTGTGGAATTGATTGGAACAATATCTGAACTCTGTACATTGTAAAGTGCTTTGAGTGACCTTGGTCTATAAAATACGCTATATAAATAAACATTACTTACTTACTATATTCAATCAATCAATCAATCAAAGTTTATTTGTAGAGCGCCTTTCATACACAGGGCAACACAAAGCGCTTCACAGTCCACATCACAAATCATCACATAAAACAAACACCAGAATCACAATTAAAACATTAAAATCACACAAAAGATTAAAACACAATTAAAACATTAAAATCACACAAAAGAATAAAACCATTAAAACTTTCAAAATTACACAAGAAATTAAAAAAAAAAATAAATGACAGCAGTGCATTAGAAATGGAGATAAAATCCTTCAGTTGTATGCACAGGCAAACAGAACAGTCTTTAACCTGGATTTGAACATTGACAGAGTAGACGCCTCCCTCACATTTTCAGGGAGATTGTTCCAGATCTTAGCTGCATGGATCTGAAACGCAGCCTCCCCATGTTTGGTTCTCACTCTGGGCACCAGCAGGAGGCCAGTCCCTGTGCTCCTCAGAGTCCGGGCCGGTTCATATGACACTAACATGTCACTAATGTATTCTGGTGCAAGGCCATGGAGAGACTTGTACACAAGCAGAGCCGTTTTAAAATCTATTCTTTGAGCCACAGGAAGCCAGTGCAGAGACCTGAGGACCGGACTAATATGGTCATACTTCCTGGTTCCTGTCAGGACTCTAGCTGCTGCATTTTGGATGTACTGCAGCTGCTTACAGGTCTGTTTGGACAGACCTGTAAGCAGGCCATTGCAGTAGTCTAGCCTGCTGGAGACAAATGCATGGACAAGAATCTCCAAGTCTGCCCTGGACACTATATTTCTAACTTTGGCAATGTTCTTCAGATGGTAAAAAGCTGTTGATGTTATTGATTTTATGTGGCTATTGAAATTTAGGTCTGAGTCCAGTATTACCCCCAAATTTCTGACCTTGTCTGAAGGAAGTAGGGAGAGAGACTGAAGTTGACAAATGACGCCCTCTCTTTGTTTCTGGGGACCAAAGACAATGATTTCGGTTTTGTCTGCATTTAGCTGGAGGAAATTATTTTGCATCCAGTCACTGATCTGTTGGATACAGTGAAGGAGCAAATCCAGTGGTCCATGTTCTCCTGCAGTCAGTGAGACATAGATCTGAGTGTCGTCGGCGTAATTGTGGTAGGACACTTTGTTTCTTTGTATTAACTGACCTAACGGCAGCATGTAGAGATTAAATAGGAGAGGTCCCAGGATCGACCCCTGTGGTACTCCACAGGTCAGGGCCACATCATCTGAGACGCAGTCTCCAATCTCCACAGAGTACTTCCTATCCTCCAGGTAAGACCTAAACCAGTCTAGGGCTGTGCCAGTGACACCAACCCAGTCCTCCAGTCTCTGCATGAGGATCTCATGGTCGACAGTGTCGAACGCAGCACTAAGATCTAACATGACCAAAACTGTGACTTTACCTGCATCAGTGTGAAGTCGAATGTCGTTTGTTACCTTCACTAGAGCGGTCTCAGTGCTGTGGTGGGGTCTAAACCCAGACTGGAACATATCAAAAGAATTATTCATTGTTAAAAATTCAGTAAGTTGTTGGGAGGCCACTTTTTCAAGAATTTTTCCAATGAATGGCAGATTCGATATGGGGCGATAATTTTGAAGTCCCGCAGGATCCAGACTGCTCTTTTTTAGGAGAGGTCTTATGACTGCTGTTTTTAGGGCCATAGGAAATGTTCCTGACGACAGAGACATGTTTACTATTTGTGTCAGTGAAGGTAACAAACTGCTCAGGACGGACTTCAGAAATTTAGAGGGCAATATATCCAGGCTACATGTGGAGGAGCTCAGACTCATGATTATCTTTTTGACAGTTTCAGTATCCACAGGTGCAAAGTGAGTTAGCTCAAAAAGCTTCTCTGGCTGTTGCATTGTTATACGTGCTGTGGAGGTGATAGTGTTTTTGATTCCTTGTACTTTGTCATCGAAAAACTGTGCGAACTCATTACACCTAGATTTAGAGGAAAATTCTAGGGGCAACTTTACAGGGGGGTTCGTTAATCTACCAACTGTTGAAAACATAACACGAAAATTGTTACTGCAACCTCCAATAATGTCAGAAAAATACATTTCTCTTGTTCTACGTAGAACCCGGTTAAATTCACCCAACTCATCTTTAAAGATTTCATAATCGCCCTGGAAATTGGACTTTCGCCACTTCCGTTCGGCCCTCCGGCACTCTTGCTTCTGTGCCCTGACCGAGTCTGCCTTAGTCCATGGGGCCTTTTTCTTACTGGTAACTATTTTAACCGTC